TGTTTGGCCATGTGCTTTTGCGCGCGTGTGTGTGTGTGTGTGTGTGTGTGTGTGTGTGTGTGTGTGTGTGTGTGTGTGTGTGTGTGTGTCTGAGAGAGAGAGAGAGAGAGAGAGAGATGAGGCAACCAAGCCGAATTGGATATCACATCTAAATCTTTAGAAAAACACTCACTGGGAGACCATCACTGCGGATTGGGTTCCCTGAAAGTTATGCGTCGCTTTTAGCGAGACCTGTCAGCACATCATGCACATTTGACCTATAAGGCACGTGCCTGATATACACTTATCTGAGTGTCTCATGATAGAAACACAGAGCTTTGTATATTTGTATCCTGATGTCCCTTTGTTGGCGGGATGCTGTCTCACTGTCACTCTCTCTCTCTCTCTCTCTCTCTCTCTCTCTCTCTCTTTCTCTCAAGAACAACAATAATAATAATAATAAATGCTACGTAGAACATGTACAAAAGATGAAAATGCAAACAAAATTACAATCTGCCTAATTCCAAAATAAAGCCAGATTTTGAAAAATACCAGCACCTTGTCCAGTATCTGAGAAAAAAAAGAGAACTTGAAGGTTATAGTTATCATAAATAAGTGGTGCACTCGGAACTCTTGACAAAAATCAGTGAGAACAAAACAATTTGAAATTCAAAGAATTGCACTTGCGCAGACGTCAGTGGGGTCTGCGAGGATAGCTGTATATTTGAAGTGTCTTCCTGCCAATTGATCTCCTACAATAAGCCTCGAACTTTGGCATGCACACACCAATGTAAGGATGGAAATAAGAACCTTCCAGATGTATCGAGAGACTACAAAGTAGGCATGAAGTTTAATTAGATATTAGAAAAATTCCATGACATTGCTTGAGAGCTGAGAAATACTTGGAATCGTTCCCATTATGGTAGATTCATTTGAAACTGTGCCAAAAAATGGAATCGAGATTGTTTTTGTCGGAACTCCGAGATATGTTCGAGAAATGTGCAAATGAGTGAAAATAACCACGCAAACCAACGCACAAACTAGAATTCTTGGAGAAAGATGTAGAAATTTGTCGGTTTTTTAGATGCGGCTGTTCCAACAGACCCAGAAAATAAAAAACTGGTGAAATATTTTGACTTTATAAAATAATTTTTTAAAATTGTGAAATTCTAACCTGACCCATCATTATTAACGCATTTAGAACAATCGCTAAAGTCAAAGAATTTCAAAACATTCAAATGTGGAAGAATTAAAACTAACTACACGACAGCATCACTAAAAGCAGAATACTGAATAGAGTGCTAGAGTATTAAAGAGACTTGCTGTCACTTGTTCTCTGGATTAAATATGATGAAATAAAATTTGAATAAAAAAGATCAAATAATTAAAATATATAGCTTGACTGTGCGAATGAAGAAATTGAAATGATACCAATATCTTAACTGAAAGCTCCTGCAATTCTAAGAAGTCGAAGTCTTTCGCTTGAAATTTCACAATTATACCCAAACTTACCTTTAATACTGGAAGGATTTTAAAGTTCGACAAAAGAAAAATTTTGAAACGCTAGGAAAAGAAATATAAACAATGTATTACTGAATATTAATACAGTAAATCCTCGGGTTACAGCAATCCCAACCTACGACGATTCATGATTACAATGCAATCTCCATTAATCTTGTTTCGACTTGCGTCGTTTTTGTCCTACATACGACGCAAGAAAGGCCAGCTTTTATGTTTCGTCATTTCATCTACCGAGAGCCAATGACATCACTGGCAATAAATATACAAGCTGCTAAAAACAATTTCTTTTAATTATATGGATTATATTTCCGTGTGTTTTTCGTCCTAATTATGTTAACATATGTCATAGAAATGTGTTATGTCCAAGATTATTACTTTACCGTTGTGTCAGCAAAGGTGAGTAGCGTAAGTGCTTATTGAAGGAAAATAGTGGGTACATTCCGACTTACACGAAAAATCGCGTTACGACGCATTGTAAGAACGGAACATTATCGTAAGTCGAGGACCTCTGTAATAATAATAATAATAATAATAAGAAGAAGAAGAAGAAGAAGAATATTCTAAGACAAGAAAGCTTTTTTCTAAATATAACATGCATCATCCAAATACTAATACAGACTGTTTATTATACATACCCCATAAAGAAGGTGGGAGAGATCTTATTCAGCTGGAATTGTCATACAAGACAACAACTATTGGCTTACTAACATACATGGAAACAACAAAAGACTGGAGGATATAATTAGTCAAACAATACGAAAACAGAAAGAAAAAAAAGTTTCAATCATGAAAGAAGGCTATAAATACAAAAGAGATTTACATTTAGTAGATTACCTAGAAAACGAAAAAAGAACCCAAGAACCAACCATTGTAACAAAGATAAAAATCTTGAACAGATGAAACAACGCTGGCAAGCCAAACCTCTGCATGGCCAATACCCAGAACGTGTTAATAATGCCGATGTTGATAAAGTTAACAATCATTGATAGTTACGAGCATCTAGATTAAAGGCCGAAAAGGGAGGCTTTATTGTTGCAACGCAAGACCAGAGTCTTTTCACTAGAAACTTTCAGGCAAATGTCATACATAAGAGTGTGGATCCAAAATGCAAGTTCTCTGACAAATATCAGGAAACAATAGACTGTCTAATCTCGGAGGATGTTATGTACTTGCGCCAAATGAATATAAAAATCGTCACGATAAAGTCGGGCAATACTTACACTGGACAATGTGCAAACATTTTGGAAACGATGTTAATAAACACTGGTATGGAGATCACCCAGCACCGGTTACAGAAATAGAAGATATTACAATTCTATGCACCATCTTCACAGACAGGAAGACTGAATCAAATAGGCCAGACATAATTGTCAAAAACCGAAAAGAAAAAACTTGCCTACTAATTGATATGGCTTGCCCAGCGGACTTTAACATAGCAACCAAGAAATTTGAAAAACTATCCAAGCATAAAGACCTAGAAATTAATAGCAGGAATAGTACCAGTCATAGTAGGTGCGCTTGGAATGATTAAAAAAGGAACATAATAACATACTGAAAAAATCCCAGGAAATTTCAGCTTGATAGAAATGCAAAAAAGTGTCTTGATAAGTACAGCTCACACACTATGAAGAACATTGTCCGTGTAAAGCTAGGGATGTTATGGGAGTTAGCTAGAAATTACCAAGCACACACACTGAAAAATTGTGTTAACCCGAAATGCAGATTTTGTGGTAAATATTTAGAAACAATTGATCATCTTTATCAGGCTGCATATTGTTAGCACCCACTGAATATAAAAATGTGGGCTTGATAGTGTGGGCCAATATCTGCACAGCAAAATATGTAACTTTCATGGTAAGGAAACTGCAAAAAACTGGTTTGAAAATCACTCAAACCCGGTTACCTGTAACAATTTGATGAGACTTTACACACAGACAAAACACTCAATGCTAATAGTCCAGACTTCGTGATCAAAGACCACAAAACAGAATGTTTTTTCTTATTGACATGACAGTCTCTACAGATTGTAGTGTATCTTTGAAGATCTCCCAAAAACTATCAAAATGCACGGATCTTGAAGCGAAAATATCAAAAACGTGGCACATAAGAACATCAATAATTTCAGTTGTAGTTGTAGTCCTCCGATTGATTGTAAAAGGTCCCGATAGACTCATTAAAGAGATACCTGGTAGTCAATGCTTTAAAAAAATACAAAACATTGTACCTACACATTACGAAGAGCTTTATCGATGTAAAATGTGTGTAATCTTTTTTTTTTTTTTTTAAAAAAAATGATCAGTGAAAAATGTCATGAAGCCATTTCTGACTTTAGGTTTCGGGTTGGAACCCAGAAGGAAATGTGTATACAACAGAAATCAAAGGAAATAATAATAATAATAATAATAATAATAATAATACATATTTGAAAATTATTTTTTTAGAAACTAAAATTTAAAGACGTTTTGAGAGTAATCAGTAGAATGCGTCATCTCAAGACAACAATAATTCTTGTCATTGAGGGTCCGGGGTTATGAATGATATCAAAAGGGGCAAACAAATAGGTTGGTGAAAATCCTGCCAGCCCCAAAATATATAAATTGCAAAAGAATCATGCGCGCGGGTACGTCTGCATCCTGCGTGTATCTCTCTCCATGACAACAATTATTTTTAATAGCATGGCACCTCATTTGTTTACATCAACTGATGCCAAATACATGATGTTTCATGAAGCCTTTGGTTCAAAATTGGGAACATATCGTATTACACTAAGCAAGGGCAAGGACAAACTAATAATAATAATAATAATAATTATAATTTGAGAAACTATCGAAGTATAAAGATCTGGGAATCGAAATAGAGAAAATGTGGAAATAAAAAAGAAGAATAGTGCCAATCATAGTAGATGCGCTTGGAACACATTGAAAAATCCCTGGAAATCCTAGCTTAAAAGAAATTGCCTTGATAAGTACAGCCCACAAGATAAGAAGAGTTTTGTCCATGTAATGTTAGTGATGTTATGGGAGTTAAAAAAACAAATCATAAAACGTAGCCAAAACAACACACCACTACCTGCCTTAGGTATTCCCGCAGACTTAGTAGAAGAAATCGAAATATAAAATATAATAATAATAATAATAATAATAATAATAATAATAATAGATTGTAGAATATCTGCTATAACAGCGCTTACGGATTGCATTAGTTCAATTGTCTTTCCTTTTATCGCTTAAAAATCTTTATTTTTATTCATTTTAGCTATTCATTATCATCCCCATTATTTATTAGAATCTGAAGTGTTTCATTATAAGTGAGGGTAACTGAAGGATAGGCTACGATTACTACTCACTAATGCAAAAATAATAGCATAGGCTTTAACTGCTGACAGTAGTTGTTAAAAACTTAGATTAAAATCAGAGTCGATAATGATTACACAGAAAAAAAATGAAATGCTGAATGTGAAAATGTAAAGGAAATAAAAAAAAAGGAAAAAATTCATCCGGTTAAGAAAAGGAGAAAAGGCAGAGAAATGTGAGATGATCAAGAAACCGGATGCTGCAAGGATGGCGGAAGCTTAACATAACGGCGGGAAAGTGTAAATGGTCAGAACTTAAGCCAATCAGAGCAAAGAATAGAAGAGGGACGGTTGGTAGTTGGACTGTGAAAGACTTTTGAATACTATGATCGATTTCGGTAATATCGATATTGAATCTCGCAATCAAGCGATCGAGAATAGATGGGTGTGACGGGGGACGAGGTTCAGCGTGATTCGTCAGCAGCTGATGAGATTGCGGGCGAAATCGCAAAGTGCAACAGACCGAAAATGTTTATTTGAGGCAACGAAGGTAAACGATCATAGGGAAATGATTGTCATTAGAAGCGGCAAGGCTCTCCAATGTTAATAGCAATAGAAAAGAGATCAACAATAATAATAATAATAATGGGAGAGCAAGACCAATAGTAGTGGTATTAATAATATTAGTCAAAATGTTGGATGCGAAGATGGCGGCATTGAAAATAATATTAAATATAATAAATGCGAAAATTTAGCTACTAATGGTCAAGGAGATAATTGTCATAATAATGGTAGTGTTTATACTACTACTATTACTACTACTGATAATAATAATAATAACAATATTAATAATAATATTTTTCAAAAAAAATGATCCGTGGAAAATATCATGATGCCATTTCTGCCTTAGGTCACTGGTTGGGACCCGGAAAGAAATGAGTATTCGCTAGAAATGAAAAGAAATAATAGAATAATAATAAGAGTGATAAACATTAGTAATGATCGTAGTTACTTTTGAAGATGAAGGACACAAAGAAGAAAAAAGAAAAAAAGGAAAAAGAAGGAAAAAGAAAAAAGGAAAAAGAAGGAAAAAAAGAAGTAAAAAGAAAAAGAAGAAGGAAAAGGGAAAAGGAGGAAGCGACAATACAAATGGAATGTGATCCCCATTATATTTCAAATAAAGTGACTCTTCCAAAGACGCATTGCTCAATATTGATCGGAAAATCCAGAGATGATGGAATCCAGAGATTCCCTATCATAGACAGTTTCGCTTATAACCTCTCTCTATTTCTAATAGTTCGTTCATAGCTGAGTTTGCTTATAGATTTGAGTTTTTTGTATCCATGAGAAATATTGTAGCAGGTTTCTAATGTATTTGGTTTTAAATAAATCATTACTTTGTTGTGGGAATCAACACTTTGTGAGCTGTACGTTATATAGTAAATATTTATAGGCTACTGGAACATTTGTCCCGCAAACATTATTGGCGGACTCATGTGAGTCCAGTTAAAATAGTAAGCGCAAAACAATAAGTTTAAAACAAACGGCAATAATATGCATGTAATTGAAATGAAAGAAAAAGACATTGAAATGAAAGAAAAAGACATTGAAATTAGCTATAAGAATGTGCTTGTTTGTGTGTGAAACAAGTGTACATAATAGACACGTATATGTGTGTGTGAGAGAGAGAGTTCAAAGTCAACGGAAGACCAAGGAAGAGAATACGCCGTGTCGACAACGTTGTTTATCTACGTTTGATTATCTCTGGAAGCAACGGTTAAAAAGAGGAAAATGAAGGAAATGTTTGACTTTTTATAGATCTAAATAGCGCTACCTAATAGGCTTTTTTGGCAGAGCCAAGTAGGGTAACCGACAAGGGCTAATCTAATTGGAAAAGAAATTAATATTCACTGGGATATCAAAGTCTGTGTTATACATGTTTTTTTCTTATCAATTTATTCAGTAGATATAGTTGATTGATTGATGTATTTTTTTACGACTTCTCAACTCTTTATAGGTTACTTAAAGCCACAAAATATTTTTAGATATTGTAAGAATTTTTTGATAATAATGAATTAGTGGTAAATATTTTATTAATTAACCGATAGCTGGTGGGGAGAAGTCTAAGACTCATACCTCTCCCAAGTACAGTCGCGCGCAAGTGAATATAACGAACCTAAGTAGAATTGGAACTCAGCTCTCCGATTAACAATTTCGAGCTCTCAAACCACCCGCATATCGAACACCTGGTATCTCCAAGCGGACACCCATCTAGGTATTGACCAGGCTCGATGTTGTTTAACTTCGGTCATCGTACTGAAACCGATGCTTCAATGTGATATGACCGTAAGCCAGATAATCAAATAGATATGAACAGAATTAGATAGATAGATAGATAGATAGATAGATAGATAGATAGATAGATAGAGACAGACAGACAGACAGACAGACAGATTTTGGTATCAAATACAAATGCCCACCAGACGCAGACCGGCGCGGCATGCTTATTATGTTTAAAATAATTTTCTCCGCGACACGATTATTTTGTTCCATATTAATTACATTTATATAAAGATTCCTAGCGAAAGCATTACGCTTAACAGTTGAAAAATTGTCATCGCTATTATTAGACCAGAGGGCACTTGTATTTGGTACGAAAGGACTATTTCTCCTTACTTTAAACGTTATTTTTAATGGTTACTTGTGTTAAAGTTGTTATCGCTATATATATATATATATATATATATATATATATATATATATATATATATATATATATATATATATATATATATATATACAGCGGTGGGAGAAACAAATATTCGTACACAATTTTTTAATTTATTGTATTTCCAATTAATGAATAAACATATTTTTCATATAATTAACTGTACACCGATGCATAATTACTAAATAGGCATAGAAAATAGAAAGAAATTTGATTTAATAGATAATAAATCCCATGGATGAAAAAACTATTAGTACAATGCAAAAAAGAATGCATAGTCTTCATTTTGTACAATAGCCATTATTCTAAAGCAACCAAACTTTTCTTCTAGTTCTCAGTTAATGATCTGTGAATTTTAGATGCTATTTTGTTCCATTCTTCTTCAGATCCGGAATATTTCTTGGAGCTCTCGATTGGATTTGCATTTTTTGCATTATACGAATAATGTTCACCCATTAAAATGGATAAATGGGATTTATTTCTATTAAATCATTTTTTTCTCTTTTCTATGAATCATTTTATTATGTATCTGTTTATGTATACATTTTATTATACATCTGTGTACAATTAATTATATGAAAAGTATGTTTATTCATTAGTTGGAAATATACTAAATTAAAATATATATAATAAAAACCGATCTAAACTCTCCTACGGAAAGATAGTTGAGCTTCCGAGAGGAATCGAACTTACATCTCTTCTTTTTCCTATCGGGGAAACCAATTTTTGAGCCAAAGTGTGTCTCTACCACTTTAGCCATGTAGACAGGCCGACAGGAAGGGGTTCGAATTACAGATTTAAGGAAAGTACATGTCTTGTTGAGACTTCTACAAATCTATATCCGCTAGCTTCAGTTTCGTACCTGAAATGATAACAACATTAATTTTTTATAGTATTTTTACCTGACCTTATTTCTTATTATATAAACTTTATATTTTAGTGTTTGAGTTGCTTTTTAAATTTTATTAAACAGTGTGTAAATGTGTTAATATAACTGGATGTCTATTAAATGTCGTAACTAAAAATTACTTCCTTAAAATATTTGATAATATATATGTGTGTGTGTACGTTTGTGTATGTTATATATATATATATATATATGTGTGTGTGTGTGTGTGTGTGTGTGTGTGTGTGTGTGTGTGTGTGTGCTTGCGTGCACGTGAATGTGTGTGCATGAGTTAGCATAAATAATTTTGGCTATATGTCTATGGAGACGTGTATAAAAGAAAAATATAAAATCTGTTTTATGATGTATGTATCTCAGCTTTGTGGGTAAAAATCAGTGTTGTGAATCTCCTCAAATATTTGCAAAGGTATAATTAATTGTTCAAAGAGAGGAAGACAAGATACACCTCTTTCTCTCAATCTCATATATAACCAAGCACATATACAAATTTATGTAAACATATGCATACACACTTGGGTGTTAGCGCTGGTGATGGTGTGTGTGTGTGTGTGTGTGTGTGTGTGTGTGTGTGTGTGTGTGTGTGTGTGTGTGTGTGCGTGTTGATTAGCTACCAGATTTTATTTGTCTCTGTAGTTACACAAAACCTTTCAATACTTTTTTTTATAAAGCCTTTAACATATAGCTTCATTATCACCAATGATAGATAGATAGATAGATAGATAGATAGATAGATAGATAGATAGATAGATAGATAGATAGATATTATTGAGTTTTCAAATTCACGTCTATGCAGAGTGTTATTGTAAATGTAAGGGTTATAATCTGTCAAAATTCCAAGTGTAGAAGATGTGTTTGCCTTGAATATCAGGATCTGGAAATTTGGTATTTACCAGGACATGAACACCGACCAGATGCTGTCACTCATTCAACATATACAAAATGGAAAAATAAACTACAAAAATGCATAGACACGACTCAGTAAGTTACGGACAGGCTGAAATAAATAAATATTTTCTAAACTCAGTTTAGTGTAACACAATCAAATGTATAAATAGAGGCTTAGAAGATTGTTTTGCGAAAACCATCCAAGTTAGAAAGGCTTGCACGAATTAAAAATTAACCTTCGAAATCTGTGCGCGAAATCACAGCTCAAACGCCAACTGGCACCGACATAAATACACAATTTCAACGACGAAAAAAGCCCAAGGGTCGGTTAGTATACTGTGTAATTGTTGTAGGTCTTCACTTTATGTATATATTGACATCAAAGTCGTGAGGTCAAACAACCTGGATCAAACATTCAATTCGAAACCTCTGCTTGTATACCTTGAAAGGCAAGCTTTTTGCATGGACCCGAATGTTCACTAAATGCACAGTAGGCTAACACACAATTAATGTCGATCACTAAACATGCTCTTTGATAGATAGATAGATAGATAGATAGATAGATAGATAGATAGATAGATAATGAACAGCCTGAGATAGATAGATAGATAGATAGATAGATAGATAGATAGATAGATAGATAGATAGATAATGAACAGGCTTAGATAGATAGATAGATAGATAGATAGATAGATAGATAGATAGATAGATAGATAGATAGATAATGAACAGGCTTAGATAGATAGATAGATAGATAGATAGATAGATAGATAGATAGATAGATAGATAGATAGATAGATAATGAACAAGCTGAGATAGATAGATAGATAGATAGATAGATAGATAGATAGATAGATAGATAGATAGATAATGAAGATAGATAGATAGATAGATAGATAGATAGATAGATAGATAGATAGATAGATAGATAGATAGATAGATAGATAGAGTGACGGACATGATCAAATAGAGTGAAAGAGCGTTGGAAGTTTCAGCTTCAGGAAGAGAGAACCGAAAATATAAACAAACACAATGAAATGTTAAAACGAATTCTAAAATTCATAGAAAACAAAGGAAATGAGAACAAAAAATAGAGAAGACGAGAAACGCTATAAACAAGAAACTCACTGGTGATTGTATAAATGACTGCCAAAAATGAAAGTTATTTCTGTTTCAATATCCATTTCCCCTGTTGCATACCGAGTTTCTTTAAAATGCACACAACTGTGTAATGTATATATTTCTGGAAAGTCAGAAAACGGAATCAACGAACCTGGTTAGAAGTACGGCTGACTGTGGTTCTTTTTACGTTCACTTCCGACAAATGCTGTTTAGAAAAGCATGAATCTCTCTCACTAATTCTAGTCCTATCGCCAGCAGTGAAATGACAATTTCGTCAACAAATTGGGTAAGTACCTTAACAATCCCATTCTCATGAACACCATGCTTACCCCGACAGTAAAAGATGAAGATAGATAGATAGATAGATAGATAGATAGATAGATAGATAGATAGATAGATAGATAGATTAAAACCGTAAACATTCAATAATCGGCTATTTCAAGTTACAAATAATCCTTCTCAGAAGGCGGAAATTCAGTCAGAAATTGTCCAAAGTTCATCTTAGAAGAAAAGTACAGGAGATATGGTTCATGGTTTCGACTTTCTTAAGTCATCATCATGGTAGGTATGCTACTTATTAATATGGTGTCTGATGGAACTTTGCTCCGATAGTTTGCAAGTGAGACTCCATGAAAGTGTTCTTGTGGTATAATAATTGAAAGACGTTTTGCAGTTGTTTTTTTTTTATTATTATTTACACAGAAACATACTCCGAGTTGTCAATTATATTAATACCTACCATTGGTCTTGTATGGGGGGGTGAAGTTTGGGATATATTATTTTTAGTAAATAAGTTGCTAGTTTTGAACATATTATAAGGAAATCTGTGTTAAGAAAATCTGTTCGTGACGAAGATGTGGAAGAATTTGCCATTCTATTGATCTCACTAGTCTTGGATTTATTTTATGCATTACATACTTACATTATTATGCTGGAGATTAACACTTTTTTAATATTTACCGAAACAGCATATTTTTGATATTCAGTAACTTTATATAAGTATATCACTGAATCCTTGTTTTCTCCAAAATATTCTTACAGTCGAATAAATATTTTCTGGCTTTAAATAACCCGCAAAAGGTTCATAGACCGTAAAAAAAAAAAACAAATTAATCAATCAATAAATCGTTTCTGGTAAAACGTACTTTCCGAGCATCGTAATATTTTAGGCTTCTTTAGGTATGGGCGAAAGGCTGGTTATATTTTATTTGGAATTTACTTTTGCTATTTTTTTCTATGTCGCTTTTTGAATAAACAAAGCAAGGTAAATGCCGGCCCTTTTTTGCCTCCTTCTCCACTCCCGAAAATGTCTGGCAGCCTTTCGTGACAAGAAGTAGTAAGAAAAAGGTAAATATTTATCAGAAAATAAATTACATTAATAGATGTGTTCTCATTTATCTGTTCGTCTATCCATCACAGACTGCTATTATCGATAATGATATTTGTCGACTTATCAATATATCTACCGTAATCCTCTCTCTCTCTCTCTCTCTCTCTCCCTATCTATATGTGTATATATATATATATATATATATATATATATATATATATATATATATATATATATATATATCAGTGATATATATATATATATATATATATATCACTGATATATATGACGACTCTGGAGGCCGGGATTGTCGGGCTTAACCCGGGTTGAGTTAACATTCAAGTACAGATCTATTTCAAAACAACAAAAATCTTTCGTAGTGCGTTGTTTTCATTCTTGACTTCAGCTCGAGCCAAACTTAATTGTTTTAACTCCGTGCCTCAAAATATTGACCGAAATACATTTCGTTGATATTATTCATAAGAAAGAAAGAAAGAAATGAAGAAAGAAAAAGAAAGAAAGAAAGAAAGAAAGAAAGAAAGAAAGAAAGATAAGGATGAAATAAAATTAACGTAGCTAGTCGGGCCGCGTCGATCTGAGCACTGTAGATATACTTAATAGGCAATGTATTTCTTGCTTTAATTTTATAAACAATCTTTTAAAATTTTCTAATGAATTTTATGCTCTGTTTTTCAAAGAATACATTTCAACTTACTATTTTCAAATGACCATTTTAAATAATTTATTCCGTACACTATAAGGCTTTTTAGCGCAATGTATCAATTGAAAAAGGGCAAATTAAATATAGCCCGGCTTCAAGTCTGCGAAAATGAAAGGAAGTGGCAGCATTAACTCGTCGACTGGATGGTTGGGGGTGAAGAATGTGACTGGGGTAGTGTTGAGGAAATATGATATCAGTCAGTAATATTGATCATAAACGTACAATAAATTAAACAAAAAATTCACAGACAGAGATACATAAACACACTAACGAACAGACATATATATAAACACATAATTGAAATATATACACACGTTATTTTAAAAATGCAAAATATCTGGCTAGTGCATTCTACTAACTCTAGCTAAAATACCAAAGTATTTTTTTAATTGCATGCGCAGAAATATTTAGAAATTATGTATTTTTGTCAGCGTAAAGGAATCATTTTAGCATCTAAGTTATACCAATTGTATATTCTGTTAAAGATTGTAATGAGTCCGACAAATATGGACCTGCATCCCCCTTTGCAGTAGAAACCGTCGTTACATCCGACGTGCTTTAACCAACTCGGATCCGATGAGCGTTATGATTAAGTAAAGTTTTATACTGCCTTTAAGCACATCTTTTTCATTTAGACTGTTTAAAAATATAAACGGTACGTCTACTCAAATATGTATACCCACTAAAGATAACGTTTAAAGTAATACAATTAGATCGGATTGATAAATAAATAAAGCCAATATTTCATTTAAAATTGCTTTGTTTACGTTCCGGAAACGAATCAGTGCAGTTATGAACTTTTTGGGATTCAAACGAGTAAGATGTGCTTTAAAAAAATAAACAAAGCGTTTACTCAAATACGGGTATCCACTAAAAATAACGTTTAAAGTGATAATTTTAACATTTAATGTGATTAATATATATATATATTACTGTAGTAATGTTCTGAAATGCCTGTAAAGGAACAGTTTTTTCACGCTTTAATGGGCGCGTGACCATGACATTATAACATGAAAAAAATTTCATAATGGATAATTTTTTTCTCGTTCTAATGAATGCTCAGCACAACCGTTTTGCATTTAAAAGCATAATACAAAAATTACGTTGGATAACAACGCACAACTTTGTATAAATACTTGTACTAATGAACAACATATAGGTTTGTACTACTTGCACCCTTGAAGATGATCTTGGAAGGAGATCGAAAGTACTCGGGAAATGAAAATAAAAGAAATTTAAACATCCATAGCACATTTCTCTCATCCTTCAACATCCATACACCGAAAGTTATTCGTGAGTATGAACGGGTTTTGTTAAAAATTAGCAGACATGATGTCGGTAATTTATTCAATCAGACATGCTTAAAAGAGAATTTTGTTGCCTAAACACACACACACACACACACACACACACATATATATATATATATATATATATATATATATATATATATATATATGTGTGTGTGTGTGTATATATATATATATATATATATATATATATATGGACACCTCGTGGTGGTGTAATGGTTACTGCTTGTCTCGCTAGTATGATTACGACTGAGTAGTGAGTTCGATCCTCACTGGGTGCCTCTTACTTTTGGCTTTGTGCCACATCTGAGCCACGCTTGGAAAATCACTATATATATATATATATATATATATATATACACACACACCAGTCATATATATATACCAGTCATCGAAATCTCTATTCATCATCTATGAGAGTAGGCAGTGGTACGTTGGTGCATGTGAAAAGGAATCAAGGAGAGAGAGAGAGAAAAAAAAGATATATTTGAAAGGAGAATTGTGTATAGATATGAGCAGTTCTGTTTTGTTGTGTTGGGTTATATGTTTTCTACTTTCTCCCTTTTTGGCAACGTTCAAACCAAAATTACTATAAACAAAATGAGTATATATTCTTCGAGTGGCAGATAATAACATGGTCTGTCTTTGTTTAGTAATTTTTATCAACATTTGGGGAGACAAGTGTGCGCGAGTTCTATGTGAGGATTTAAGAACGTCCATCTGCAAAAAGATAATGATTGCGATTGGATATGTGTTTATGCCTTACTTATATACGCACCTCTAATGATGCGTTTACATGTCTGCCTCTGCGGAAATGTGTACCTCGGTGTATTTTCTTTTAATCATTACACCTCAAGCAAGGCAATAAAGCTACTAAGATGCAAGAGAGAAATTTGAAGATCAAAGCTGACTGGAAAGCCAAAAGCCGGAAGAGATTTGCGCAAGCGACAAGTGTGAGAAAAGGAATTATTTACATAGAACTTACGGTTTAGCTATTTAAAGAAATGGTCCTTTCTATTAAGCATTCAGAAAGAACTCACTTGTTTACAATGTGTTGTTAACTGGGGTAAGAAATGACTTGATAATTTTGACGCCTCCAAAACAATACTGCTTTTTTTTTTACTAGTCTGAGAGAACCTTTCTGCCTTCCATCAGTATGGCTGATGCTAACCTCCAAGAGAGTTACTCCTTGTGCCTTCTCGGACTAACGTTTTCCGCCGACATGAAGGGGAAACATCGTATAGAATCAATTGCGAGTTCTACCGCTAGGAAGGTTGGTTCCCTGTGTCGTGCTAGGTGATTCATCTCGTCAGAATTTATCTTACACATTTATAAGTTGATCATTCGTCCATATATTAAATCTTGCTGTCACATCATGCCTGGTGCTCCTGCTATGTATTTAAATATATATATTCTTGATAAAACACAAAGAAGAATACACAATATTGTCGTACTTGACCTGGCATTTTAGCTTTTCTCATTCTCCCACCGCCGTAATGTAAATTCTCTGTGCCTTTTCTATAGATATTTTTATGGTAATTGTTCTGATGGGCTTTCCTCTTCGGTACTTAGACTTTATGAATATAAATGCAGTACTAGATTAGCAGCTAGGTTTCATCATTTTAAAATTGAAATGTCAAGATGTAACCGTAAGTTCTTTGCTAACATTTTATTCTCTCGTACTTCTCGCTTCTGGAACCCTCTTCCAACTTCTTGCTTCCCAGTCAACTTTAATCTTCAAAAATTTAAATGCAGTATTACTTGTTATCTTCTGTTTTCTTAATTCCTGTTCTTTTATTGTTCTCTCTCCTTAATAATGTTTTCTTTTTCTTATATTCTCTCACACTCAGTAACCTCTTGCCTCTTAGTGACTTCATTATCCTTGCTTAGTGATATGATTAAAAAAATTGACATGGCATTGGTAATATTGGCTGTTTCCTTATATGAAAAAAATCTACATTCATTGGATGAACAGATAGCATCACTGTCGTAATTTATAAAACTTTTCTCTTAAAACAATTTTCTAGGAAAAGGTTTCTCAAGTCCATTCGCTGTTATTGATCTTTCTATTACTGATTGAAGTTTCTTCCTAACTGTTTGTTTAAGGTAGTGCGAAAAGTCATCATCTTGATTATGTGATTACTTTCGCTTCGATTTATATATGCTATACATTTTAGTTGTTGCTATTGTTGGAAGTCTTCAAGTGAGGTGGTCTCTGTTATTTGGTCAAGCTATGAGATTTGATGAAAGATAAGCCTACAGGATTCATCTGTTTGAAGCTATTTGTAATTATTAATCTGAGAAAATGGTTGCATATCGCTGCTGGTAGTTTTAAAAATGATCTACGGTAATTGTTTGTTATTTAAGAAAAAAAAACGTGGGAATCAGAAAGATTAAAAGCAAATAATCTTATTTAGCAATCTTGTGTATCAAATTCAAGTGCCGGCATGATCAAATTCTTTTCACTAAGAACGATTAAATTATTTCACCCATGCACGGTGCCCCAGCTATGAGTTAAATAGTACGAAATTATATCTAGAAAAATCATTTTATTCGCAAAAATTTGCTAATGCAATATTCACTCGCAAAAATAAAGAATTATCTTCACATTCCAAAATATATTTCATCCTTAAATAAGCTAGAAAGTGTTGATAAACCGTAAAAAAGAAATCAATCAACAATAAACCTGATACAGTTCTTAGTTGGTATGGAATGCTTATAACTTTTTAAAAATAATTTCCTCCGCGTCACGATTATTTTATTCAATGAATCAAGCGACGTCAGTAAAAAAGTACTGAACCTGCACGATATTCTATGAGGTGAAAAATTCCTACCATTATAACTATTCCAGACAGTACTTGTATTTGGTACAAAAATCTAATGAAATATACTCTATATAGAAAATATCATCATTTTTCATATGTTAAACCATTATTCATCGAAAAGACTTAGCCTTGTTTTATACTTTATAAGATAGTTGGCTTATAAAATAGCTTTAGAATACGATGTAGCACTAATTAAAAAGAAATTCTCAAAATAAATGACGTTGCTATTATTATACATAATTAAATACATCAGCATTTTAAATTGTGTTTATTTTTTTTAAATAGTCTGCTACTTATAGCCTGCAGTCAAGTTAAAAAAATAACTGGCTTGTTAGAAAATGTTGAATCATAGAAAAAAAAATTATATTCGTGTATTTTTATGAGAAAACAGTATTTATTAATAAAAGAGCTTATTCGAAGCACTGTGTCCAAAAAAAAAGTACTAAATCACATCAAATTTATTGATTCACATCTAATCATTTCGTCATAGTCATGGAGAATATCCACTTCCATAATGAAAACGATGAGTACGTTTTCATATGATACCAACATTCGAGATATTGTGCTTCTTACGTTGACTAACTCACTATTAGTCATCATAAATGGATTGCTATGGTGTAGATGTTTTTAGCAACTCAATACGTTTTGCTCAACAGTCCATAGAACGAAAAACCAAAGGTATGTGGCAGTATTAATTGAGGAGGGGGGGTGAAGGTTGCTAAACAATAAGAATTGATGTGTCATGATGTTTCTAGTTTTACGATCAGCCACTGAGATATTCATCAAAAGAAATCCGCACCTTCACCCTTTTAGCTTTTGTTAAGCAAACTAAGTTATCTTCTCATATATCTCTCTTGGTAGCGATTGATCGTCTGCTTTGCATACGCATAGCCCGCTTATTTCCATTAAGTTCCGTCCGCACATCTATCAATCACTTTGTTCACACACGCATATGCTGAAAGATGGACGGGTAGAGAGAGAGATAGATAGAGAGAGAGGGAGAGAGAGGAACTAAGTTTTGATAAGCGGCAAATTAACCTATGTGAGAGGGTAGTGATTGTGTGACCAATATAAGAATTTCTTATTTTTATTATTAGTACCGGAGATACACTATACCAAAAGGTACAATATTTCATAAACAACATTGTTTTGTTTTTTGTTTTGTTTTTTTCTCCATGAAGATAATCTTAAAAATCTCTTGATATTAGTAATAATTCGGCTAGATGTTTTAATTTTTTTTAATAAATTCAAAGTATTTATTATAAACATGAACTTGGTTGTTTGGTTGGCTGTTATTGGCTGTTATTGTTTGGTGTCGTATCAAATTCTGTAGGTTATTTAATACCGAAATCTAATGTTATACGCAATTTTATTTTATTTTTGGAGACAATAGTAGTCTAGTGATACAAGTATTACTAATTAATCCATAGCTTGGAGGAGAAGGGGTGGACTCATATTAACAACTCCGAGTCATTATCCATAACACCACCCGCAAATCGAAGCTTACAGCATTTGGTATTCCCAGTCGATCATCCATCTAGGTACTAACCAAGCTCGACGTTGCTTTACTTCGGTGTTTGTGTAGGAACCGCTGTTTAAACGTGATATGGCCTTAGGCTAAACATGAAGTGGTATATGCCTAATGATGATGTTTTTAACGATTTTTCATCATGCTTATCATTAGGATGCAGATGATTACAATATAATAAAATAACCATATTTTTGTTTATATCAATAAAATTACATTATTTGTGCTGTCTTTTCGACAAATTTTTAAACATATAACGTCGTTGTATGTAAAACTCTTCTTAATATGTGTCTATGTTGTGACTCAATTATTTGTAAAATAAAGTGTATGAAGAAGTATTAAGTTCACTTGTCTTGATTATGTTCTTTATAAAACCAATTTATTATATTAGTGCAATTATGTACACATCGTACAAGACCATAATATGACTTTTAATATGAGACAAATACTAGTAGATAGCTCTAGAATATGATATAGCACTAATTGTAAAGAAACTCTCAAAATAAATGACGTTGCTATTATTATACAAAATTAATTACATCAGCATTTTAAATTGTGCTTAATTTTTTAAATAGTCTTCTACTTATTCGTTGTCAAGTTTTGTTACACCTAACAGACTATTTTTTAATCTAAAACTTATATTGCTTACATAGAGTTTGAAACCGTTCAAATTTAAAGATTATCTTTTCTGAATAAAAGGCCGCATGAAATAAATGGGGACTTGACGCTGATGAAATTGACGTTCTTGAAAATGACTATACGATTACAAATTGAACTCGAACAAAAATGTAACTTTTGAATAGTTTCTTTATATAAATTGATGTTGGTAAAAGTTGTTGAAAAAATTAAACAGATCATTTTTTAGGATCCAATAAAATATATTTTATATATTTTATATATACGTGTGTGTGTATGCGTGTCTCCTTGTGTTTGTGCATATTTGCGCTGTACATATGTATTTTTTATATATATATATATATATATATATATATATATATATATATATATATATATATATATATATATATATATAAACAATAAACATACAAATGGTGTTGAAATTTTGTCGATCTGACTCAGTTACCAAAAGTTGATGAAATAACCAATGGAATCGTGATTTTTTTTCCTTCTTTTGTGAGAATTTTCTCTTTTTGGTCAGGCCGGGAATCTTCCAGCACCTCAGTTATATATATATATATATATATATGTGTGTGTGTGTGTGTGTGTGTGTGTGTGTGTGTGTGTGCGCACGTGTGTGTGTTAACACAAAAATATACCTGCTTGTGATTTCAAGCTTGAATTAATTGCCAATACACGATGATCCCAAAAATTATTTGTTGTACCTTTTAACTGACCTGCTTTAACAGAAAAACTAAAAATTAAACATTTTATAGGACATTTTCGAGACCCATGCTTACCCAACTGATGAAACAAGAATTTCTTTTTTCACTGTATACACACACATATATATATATATATATATATATATATATATATATATATATAAAATAAATAGACAAAATTTGTCTACATTATTTAATGAAACATGCATCAATATATATATATATATATATATATATATATATATATATATTGATGAGAGTGTTTCCAGCGGCCTGTCACTATGTATTATATTCTAATTTATTCATGCTATAAAAGATGACGTTTTCTTAAGTCTCTCTTATTAGTAGGGTTTGACATGTAAATCTTTAAGTATAGCAATATTAGAATATTCGGAACGTAATTATATCTGATCAGAAAAGATATTAAAAAAAATGGAAGTTAAATTTATTGAAACTGTATTCTTCAAAAATGTAATCACCTTCTTTTTCAACGACTGAAGACCAACGTGAAGGCAATTTTTCGGTTCCCCATTAAAAAAATGTTACTTTTCCCTAAAAAATGTTTGAAAATACTGTTTTCAGTTATTCTTTGTTTCCGTATATTCTGCCTCTTGTAAAATACTCCAGTGATCTAAACAAATGAAATTATGTTGGTGAGTACAACCTCCCATCTTAATGATCTCGTTTTATTTTAGGTTTGTTTTGCAAAGAGCGTCCTTACATTGTCAAACTGGAGAATAACACCTTTTATTTTACCAAAGCAGTGTATTTTCGACGTTCGAGTTTCGTTTTTCTTGGCAATAAACATTTACAGTGACTGTCCTTCTATGTTCCATAGCTCGTAATAGAAAACACCTTTCATATTCCACCAAACACAAATCAAGGACATCTGTGAATATAGTTTTGGTCTTTGTGCCGGTTTCTCCTTTATGATAAACTCTTCTTTTTTTTTTCGTTTCCTGTTGCCATGCAAAACCCATAGTTTTTGACATGGATTCAGTGCAATTGTCTCTTACAAAGTTTCTCCATTCAGAGGGAGCTGTCGTCCAGAGCCATGTTTGCTGAATATGTTACAATTACCATTTTTCTCGTCACAAATTAAAATAAATATTAGAAACTTTGCTATGATTTAAAAGATATAAAAGCACCAATCAGTTACAAGTTTTATAATTGCTTTGATATTTAAATAAATTCTGTTCTTTAACAAAGCTCCCTTTATAATTACTGGAAAGAAAATTGTAAAACATTTTACCCGCTGTCCGTCTTCTTCATAAATTACGGTTGCCAATCTCATGCGATAGTCTCAAAGTAAATTCCCTACGTGATGACGTTAACTTTTAAGGCATTTTTTGCCTCCAGCTGTTTATGGAAAGTTTTCGGAATCGTGTTTGTATCGTCTTCGATTTCACATGGAGAGACAACCAAATTAAATAATTGACCTGGTGTCCAATTTTGTATCAGTCGGGATACAAATAAATGACCCCTAATACAGATAACATAATTTTACAGATAACGAATCTCCCGCCATAGGCATGCATCTGAATATTTCGCCTTCCATTGTCTGATGTTAGCAGAAGAATTAATTAAACTGTTACTTATTTAAATCTTGTCTTGACGATGATTACTTATTGTTCGTGAAGCAAACCAAATTGGATTATAAAGCTTGCGGCTAAAATATACAAGTTACGTTTCTACACCCAAAAGGCGCTTAACTAAAATAATAACAAATTTGTAACAGCAAATATGCGACCTTACATCATCGTTCGACAGATGTCAGAATGGATTTCATTATGGTCTGGGCAAGAAAGACCTTTCAACTGACACCTGGAAAAGACATTTGGAAGATTGATATGAGTGGTTGTGATCATAAGTGTTTTGCTGATGGAATTATGAAGAGCAGTAACAGTGGCAATAGTCTTCGTGATTATCGTAACGGTGTTGCTAGTCGGGTCAGTGTTGATGATATATGACATGTCCCTTCAGTACATTGGTGTTCATGGCTCCCCACAATTTTCTGTGCTTTATAGCTCTTACTAAATTTTCTCATTTTGTTATCTCTCTTAAAGCTTGTTCCTCATTCCATTTACTCAGAATCACTAGGTAGATTATCCGTTGTTTTCTTTTATTCGACTTCAATCTGTCCTGTGAGTGTCAAATTTTCCAACCACTCTTTCCTTATTATGTGTCCTAGAAATTTCAACTGTCTCTTACTGATGTTAAATATAAGTGTTCTTTTTGTTTCCATTTTCTTCATCGTTACTCAAATGCTCAGTCCATGGTATTCCCAGCATCCTTCTGTAGGACTACATTCCTATTTGTTCGGGGACCTTACCCATAATAACATAATGGACTATTCCATACGTAATAAATACTGCGCCTCAAGAGGAAGCAGGGAGTTCCGTCTGAAGTCTGGAGTTCAGTCTGAAGTCTGAAGTGAAGTCCGTTAGGAGTCAGTCAGTCGAGTCGTGTTCAGACAATTACTACTAAACCTGATTGTTCGTACTAACACTTTTCTACTTCTCTGGATATATTACTGTTTGTATCTGTGTTATTCCATATCCGCCTTCGAGCTCTTCTTTATTGGTTCTGCCTTGGACTATCACCGTGGTACAAGGAACTGGACCATAACACTATTCAAGTCTATTCTTAATCTGTGAGGAGTTTTTTTCAGCATTCACGGCCATATAGGAAGATTGATATTACATAACAGTTCAGTGGTCTTTTCTTTGTTTCTTAAAACTTGGTTTAGTTTTTAGAAGGCATCTCTCCCTCTCCCAACACGCCTTCGAATTTCAGTGTTACACAACCCCACTCTTCTGTTAAAACCCTTCCCAAGTTATTTAAGTTCTTGTACTTGTTTTATTTTGGTATCTCCAATTTGTAATTTTCATGTTGAGCTGTTCCTTTTGCTAGCAACCACGTATTCCGCTTTCTTACAGTTGATGTTTAGTCCTTTCTTCTCGTTTTCCTTCACTATCGTCTGTAGGTGTTCTGACAGTTTCCTTTCTGCGTCTACTACCAACACTGTGTCATCGGCATATCTTATGTTGTAGCTGGCAATCTGTTGATATAGATAGTGTTGATCAGTTTCATGCTACGGGTGGGGTAGTGTCAGGAGTGAGGATGTAATGATAGTAGTGATGGTCATAAAGATTATTTTTTAAAATAAACTGAGAATAAAAAATAAAAAGGAATTCATAAGATTTTAAATCCTTTTTTTTTTTTAATTGATAGCCTATGTTTTATTATTTTCCATGGAATAGAAATACCACTACATAATTCCATCGGGGAATATAGCGATCTGAAACTTCAAAAAATAAAATATTTTCGCTTCGATGGGGCGGAATGATTGCGGTCTTCCTGGAATAGTATGAGTCGCACTAGTCCTATTGACGACAGTGATCAAAGTCCAGTAGTAATCAATATACATGCACTTACATATTGATATGTAAACGGTCTATGTGTGGTTGTACATATTCATTCATGAACGAGCAGATTGGTACAACTATGCCCAGAAAGCGTAGAAAATGGTTGACAAAGATAAAAGATCATTAGCTTCGATAATAAATAATCGGAAGTCATAAACTGTCTCGGTTCATTCGCGTCGTTTTACCGCTCAACATTTTACTCTTTATCTCTCCTTTTCCCTACCTCTCTGTACAATCATCTATCTATCTATCTATCTATCTATCTATCTTTTCTCTCTCTATTTCTCAATCTTTTTCTCCAGTTTATCTAACATTCTCTTTACTTTTTCACTTTTTCTTTTCGCTTCCCATTTTTCTCACTCTCTTTTCCTCCCTATTTTTGTTCTTTTTTTCTCTCTATCATTTCTCTCTCCATTTCCCAATCTTTTTTCTACTTCACTGTGTAATCCTCTATCTCTCCATCTCTCTCTCTCTTACTCTCTATCTTTTCTCTCTCTATTTCTCAATCTTTTTCTCCAGATTATCTTTCTATTTTCTTTTTCACTTTTTCTTTTTCCTTCCCACTTTTTCTTCCTCTCTTTTTCTCCCTATTTTTCGATCTCCTTTTCTCTCGTGTTAGATGTGTGTAAAAATTGGGAAAGATTTCAAAACAGATACAAAGTGGAAAAATGTTTTCTCTCATTCTTTTATTCTTCTCTCCCTCTTTTCTCTTTCTATTATCGCTCTGCTTTTCATCTCTTTCTCTTTTCCCCTCTTCTATCTTACTAGATATGTGTAAACGCTATCATCGTGTTCTTTTTTTGAAAACTAGAAACTGAATATGCAATCGAAAATCTCTCATTCTTTCTATCTTTTCCCTTTCTCTTTCCTCTCTCTCTCTCTCTCTCTCTCTCTCTCTCTATCTCTCTATTTCTTTACCTTTTTTCTCTTTCTTTCACTTTTTCGCCCTTTATCTTACTAGATGTGTGTCAAAAATTATTCTCACTTTCTTTTTTGAAAACTAGAAACTGAACACGCAACCGAAAATCGTTTTCTCTCATTCTTACTATTTTCCCCTTGTCTCTTTCCTCTCTCTTTCATTATCTTTTTTCTTTCTTTCTCTTTGTCTCTCTCTCTCTATTTTACTAGAGGTGTGTAAAAATTATTTTCTCCTACTTTTTTGAAAATTAGAATCTGTATACGTAATAGAAACCTATTCTCCCTCGTTCTTGCTCTTTTTCTCTCTTTCTTTCCCTTTCTCGATATACCTCTTTCTCTTTTTCTCACTTTTTTTTATTTTTCTCCCTCTGTCTAACTCGATGCGCGTATAAATTACCCCCACCTTATTTTTGGAAAGGTAGAAACTGGACACTTAATCTAAAACCGTTCTCTCTCATTCTTTCTATCTTTTTCTCTCACTTCTCTCTCTATCTCTCTCTCTCTCTCCTTATTTCTTTCTCTCTCTCTCTCTTTTTCTCTTTTTCGACCTCTATCTTACTTACTATGTGTGTAAAAATTACCATCACCTTCTTTTGCGAGAACTTGGAACTGAATAAGCAATAGATTTTTTTAATTAAAAAGCAGTGAAAACATTTGCACAGAACATATTAATTTTTCCCGAACTTATAAATAAATGTCAGGAAAAAAAAGTGCAGCGAAATTCTAATATATCATTAAACATAAATATCTATAATATATAAACATATGTGACTGTTGAAACAGCTGCAGTTATTGTATATTTCCCATGGGCACGGTGTTAGATGTCAAACCCAAATATACATCACGTTTTCACAGATGCCCGAAGCAGGCAAGTCTTACCTAATTTGGAAAATTGATGCTACACATACAGCCTATATACAAATGTCATACGACTACACGGACTCTATACCGCGAAATAGTAATGGTATGATAGCCGTTTTCATATTCATTAACTGAACAGTTAGTGTTAGTCGTTTGAAATTTATAAAATATTTTTCTTCAAGCAATTTTTCAAGCCTACTAATTGCTACAGATCTTTCTCGTATTAATGGGAGTTTTCTTCCAACCTTTTATATTTAAAGACCTGTGGAAAGTCTACCTGTTAATTATATCCTCATTTTTCCTTTCGAGTTACATAGACTATAAGATCTAAAGGAGGATAGTCTTCTTAAAAATATTTTCATTTGCTGGAAACCATTTTGAATCATCGTTCTGAGAAAACAGTTGTATATGACTGATAATTTAAACATTTCTGAACGAGTTGGATGCCATGTTATATGAAAGTCTCGATCTGACGAGGATATTTAAGAGCATGAGTCGAGTTCTTATGTTATTTTAAAATATCTTGCAGTGTTAGGAGAATCTACCCATACTTCAGCGTGTCCTATGTTTAATTTCCTCGTCCCCTATGCTAAACCAGCAGCATTTAAATATAGTAGCAGTAGCAGCCCATACAATGAATATAGTATTTGAACGGTTTAGTATTTATTGGTATTATATTCTAAATTTTTATCATAGATTCAGGGTATGTACCATCAGTCAGTCAGTTATGTGCCATGCGTGATACACGCTTAGCCGATCATCTGTTTCTCAATACATGACTGACGAGGCAGGCTTTTCCTGCAGTAGGTTGCTATCCAAGGCTATAGAACCCTGCCTGTCCTGCTATTTACCCATAGCTGGGGGGAGAAAAAGAGGATTCATACCTTTCCCAAAGGTATTAGCAGGTAAGTGAATGTAATGGATTCAACTGGAATTCGAACACGGCTCTCTGATTCCTCAATCCAAGCGTGATGTGCCATCACGACTCTCATTCCAAATCTGGAACATAGTTTCTCTTTGGGAAATATTTATCTTAGTCCGCACGTCTTGGAACACTATCATCAGTACACTGGCACCTTGAGGGAAAGAAGTACTGTTAGTCTGTGATATGCTAGAGAATGCTTAAATTATCAGAGTTCATCTCTTCACATCTGTGCTAATACACGCGCAAATAATAGTAAAGTGATTAAACAGATTGGGAATCTTATTTCCTCGTTGATATATTCTTTTATATTGTTTCTACTTTTTTGGTGTTTGATTCTTCACCTGTGGCACCAAAAGCTCAAGGATGTTTTCTAATGGATGTGAAAATGAAGTTTCTATTTGACTAAAACAAATTGATTTTAAATTCTCCAAAGAGTTCTACTTTTAACTAACATAAATATGAAGTGGCTGGAATTTTAATTTCACGAAATTTCATAAAATTAAGTGTTACCCCAAAAGATCTAAAACAAAATATGTTCAACAAGATTTTCTAAAAAGTTTCAATAATAATTTGATTCATTTGTGATTATGTCTTAAAAAATGAAATTATATTCTGACAATTATTTGATTTTTGCAAGAATTTCCAAAACAAACTGTTTTTATCGCAAAAAAACAAAATTTCGAATGTGCAAGAAAGAATTAAAAAAATGAATAAAAAATAAATCCAAACATCCTTT